AATTTAACTAGTTAGCTAGTTCCACGTAAATGAAGATACACTGATATTTTCTCATGGCCCACCCCTAACATGGTTGGGGCTCAGGGGAAAGAAGAGGCGACATGAGAGAAAAAACACACAAAAAACCCCTGGCTTTTTTCTCCCAGCTTTTTGGGGACGATGTCTCCACGGCCTACCGAGGACCTACCCCAGGTAGAGGCCAGTCTAGTGGCCGAGTTGGGAGTGGCTAAGCAGAGAATTCCACGGTCCCAGGAACATTGGGGCATGGCCTTAAAGAGGAACCTGAGTTCTAGATGGGCATATCCGCTGCCCTTGTGGGTGGGGAACGAGTGATGGAAGGCCCGAGGGAGACTTCTCATGTCCACGGCCCCCGTTGCTAAAGACTCATGCGTAGGACAGCTGAAGGCCACACACATTTCGCTTACTAAAATGTCACATGCTCAAAAGCTTTGTCACTTTCCGGTTGCATAGCCATCAGCTTCTACGTTGGCTAACCCTTTCACCATCAGATTCCCGCCCAGCGTTCTTGAGTGTCAGCAGCGGTACTCACAGGACAATGAGGTTCGCGGCTCTGGAGTGCTCCTGTAACAGTTCATTCAGGCGAACTTGGCGGTAACTCTGTGGATAACAGATTTGGTTGGAGACCATTCGAGCAGAATATCTGAATGAAAATGTATCCTCTGCCCTCAAATGATAGATGAACAGAAGAAACCCCCATTTAAAAAATTATTTATTGCATCAGATTTGCAAACTTCCGGTGTTTACAAATCTCATGAGGAATATTAGAAATGTAAACAGCCAGCTCAGGTGGCTGTGGAGCGATAGTGAGCTGTCACATTTTAGGGGGAAAGATCAAACAACACAATAATAGCTATATTATATATATATATATATTATAGCTATTATATATATATTATATAGCTATTATATCTATTATATAGCTATTATATATAGCTATATTCTAATATATATATATATATATATTAGAATGGCCGGATTTGGGAGGGGAAGGCTTGGGTTGAATACTGACCTAATTTTCCTACTAAATTGATATCCTGATGAACACAGATGATATTCTTAGTCTATCTTTCCTTAAAAGCTCACTCCCTGCCTTCCAGACATTTCTGACTCTGGGCAACTCCTCAGCACAGAGTGGAACTGCCCCTGTGAATTTCTGCAACGTGGTGTCTTTCTTGCAATACCTTTCCTTGAACGACCTCAGTATGTTTCACAGCACAGGGAACTGGTTTCAATTATAAAATCAACTAAAGATTCACTCTACATCCCTGGCATTTTTTATTATATTTCATTGATTCTGAAACCAGGATTTAAAAATAGAGTGACGTACTCAATTGAATGGGGAAAAAAATCTTTGGTAGAATTACAAGTTTTACAAAGAATGACAGAGTTTGTGATTCTAGGTTCAGTGAATTTTCCACTAACTCGGAAAGACATTTTAGCATGGCTTACTTGAATTGTCCCAAATGTAACTCCTGAGGCAGTTAATTTAGACTTAGCAGTTTAAAGGTCCTTTACTTTGAATGGCCCATTCAGAGGTCAATTTATCTACCTGATCTTTGAGTCCTTGTTCTTTCTCAATCCTATTACAATTTCATTGTGATTGGACCAGATGAGGGTAACTCCCACCTTTGGGTGCGCTAGAGAAAAACTTAGCATTTTATATCGACCCTACAGCATGTGTCTCATCTATCCTCTCCTATACATTGATCCAACTACATCATATATGTGCTCAGACCCTTTAGTTTTCATCAGTGATCATCTGCAGGCTAAAAATCTTTGTCATTGTCTTATATTGTGAGTCAATCTCCCTATAGCTGTCAACTTTGGACACATGCAGACTGCTAGACATGTCTCCCATCCATTAAAATTAAATTTGAAATATGACTTTATAGTATATACCTGAACATGTTTTTACTTTTCAAAAAATGAATGGACTTTCATTACAAAAAGTGAACACAAGTTTTCTGAGTCTGTATTTCCATATCCAGGGTTGTGACTGGAAAGTGCCTGAGAAATGCAGAAACCCAGGATCCTAAAAGACGATGTGCCCTAGAAGATTCATTACTTCTGGGTCTTTAAGTCAACCACTGTTTTCTTTAGTCAGCTTATTAGGTGGCAGATTAAAAATTAGGGAAGACGAGGCCTTACCTTTTCCTTGACTGTATCCAACATTGCATCTGTAATTTTCCAAGGATTTTCTCTTTTTAATTTCTCAGCGGTGGCTAAATCTTTGCAGCTTTCACGGAGACAGTACGGTTCAATCATCTCTTCAAAGATTTTCCAGCTGAAATTAGAATGAGAAAGGAGGCTTCGCCGTAGGAAGCTAACTCATTATTTCACAGATCCTCCAGGTCTGACTGGTTCTATTGGCTGTGGAATCAGGCCTGAATGTCACATAATCGTTAACGAATTATCTTCCCAGGGAACTTACTGTGAGTGAACCCGTGGCTGTAGCGCAATCTAGCCTCCCTAACCAAGGAAAGGACCCACCGTGTCTGAGGTCTTGTTAGCCTACTAGGTATTAGATCCTGAGTTTAAACACACAAACACAGAGATTGTGGTTATTTTGAAAAGATTGTTTTCTGCATAGCATAAGGTGACCAGACGTCCCGCTTTTGGTGGGACCGTCCCACTTTTTGGCGTTTTAAAAAAGTCCGATTTTTGGAAAGAATGCACGACAAGCTAGGGAACGGTCTATTTGGTCCATATAGACCAAGTTTTTCATCAAGAACCTGCCCCACCCCCTCAATCAATGGTGTCCCGCTTTAAATCTGGTCACCTTAGCATAGCATCATAAAAGACGTTATAATGTAGATATTTGAGACCGTAAATGGGTTTGCAACTGGCTGAATGCAGAAGAGGGGCTAAGTGCTCTGGGGGTTGGACAGGGCTTCCTCACCTGCATTCCATCCACATGGTAACTCCACTCCCTCGAGTTTAAGAGTTCTAGAACAATTTGGAGGTTCATTGCAAATAATGTTGCCATTGCCCTTCTGGGGGGAGAAAGATGGAGCTTTCTACTCCTTAAACGCTATCATCTCAGAAATCCACAGGAGCTGTTCTTCCCTGTCTTACAGGGTCTCTAGAAGTCGGCATGGATTGATGGCAGGGACTGTGTAAGTTTCCTTCTGATGTCTGATATCACCTGAGGCTCTCAAATAACTATCGTCAGGTGACCTTTAGGGGATGTGTCAAAATTCAACAATATTTTGAGGAGAAAAGTCTGAGGCCATTCTAGAGCAAATGAAAAGAAGTTGAGTAGTTGGTAAACTACCTTAGAGCTGAAGAAAACTTTGGAAATTGTTGGAAAATCTCATTCTTGCCTTTTATCAGAACCTCAAATTTCGTTTTAAAATAGTAGCACAGAGGGGAACTTAGAATGTACGGCCGTAGTTCATATGCCACTCCAGTATGCCACGTTCAGAGGATCTCAAGCATGAGCACTCTTCTTTGGTTTTATATGATGGAACTTATGAATTAATAACAGAGATGAGCCATAACTAGGATGGGGGTGTTGTTCAGTTAAGAAATTAAAAGATGAAGCGGTGAATTCAATGATCTCATCAGTTGGTCTGATTAAGGATTTTCAGTTGAAAGAAAGCAAAGTCTTTAGAAAAGTGATGGGGTGCTCTGCTTCTGTAAAGAGTTAGCCTCTGCGAGCCTATGGGCCACTTCTACTCTGTCTTATAGGGTGGCTATGAGTTGGGAGCAACGGAATGCAACAGGCTTTGGTTTGGTTTGGTGGCATCGTGGTTAAGCACCCAGCTGCTAAACAAAATGTAAGCGTTCCCATGTACCAGTGGCTCTGTAGGAGAAGGATCATGCAGGGTGCTTTCTTAGAGCCATCCCATGAGGCCACTTGACTTTGTCTTACAGGTGGCTGTGCATTGGAATTAACTAGACCAGGGATCGGCAAAGCTTTGAACCAATCCTATCCTTCGCAACAATTTAAAAATTATTTGAGAGCCATAAATAGATTTTTTTAATGAACAAATACAGTCACCCTTATCTGAATAATAGCCTTTAAAGTATTTCAGTTTTTCTCCAGAAGCACATGTACATACCCAAAAAGCTGCATAAGGCCTGAGAGCCACAGTTTGCTGACCCAAGAAGTTGGTGGTAATGGGACATGCATAGCAGGTAAGAAGTAGGCCCTCTCCTTGTGGAACAGAGGCAATCTTTGCCCTGTTATCCAGTGATATAGGCCAAGAGACCATTGGACTCGCTCTCTTACAGACAAGAATTGCATTTATACCACTTAGAGCCCTTTTGATCACAAAATTCCAAATTCCAAGAGTCAATAGCTTGGAATTAAAATTCTTGGAGTGCAAAGAGACAACTACACGAGACTATCGCATGACAGTCCAGTTGCTGTCACATTGTCAATTCCATTTACCAAGGAGAATGGAAAGGTGTCTGGAATATTCCTCAAGTCTTTGTGGTTGTAGAAATATAGAAATGCAAGACATTCAAGGCATGTATGCTGTAAGGAAATACTATAAGCTACTAACTCAAGTCACCCCTGTGGATTGCAGCTTTCTTAGCCGAGTGAAAGTGATCATTAACTGACCATTTTGAAAGCCATTTTCACTGACCCACAGCCTCGGTGAATCATGATGCCCTCCGAAACCATGAGTTTCAATTTGGGTGTAATGTCAATAAGAATGCGTGTATAATCCGAATATTTTTCAGTTAACTGATAAGCATAACAACACATCATTAGAAGACTGGAGAAGTGTGAGGGTTGGAATTGCAACCCCTTACGAATGGTCAGAAAAAGCTGCTGGTCAGCAGGGGTAGAAGAGGCCAGAGAGGACAGCGAGGAGACAGGACCTTGGGAGACCTTCCTGTCTTACCCTTGGAGGTGTCACTCCACACCGGCTCAAAGGTGCTGAGCGACACTCCGGTGCAACGGGCAACATGATTGGACACATTTGATCACTGCTTCTGAAACGCTTTCACTTGAAGCAGCTCACTCAACCTATAATCGGCTGTCGTCTCCAGACAATCCTCTGACGCCCATGGAAAGCTCGACAAATTGATTTTACATATCAGGGCTTTTATACATTTAGCAATTCCCGCGGGTTCAAGGGACCCCGTGTTTTGAAGGGATTGAAAGAAATGTGATTAAAAATTTGCAGCTTTCTTGGTTCTTTTGGCGCTGATACATTCCTATGCCAGCGTCCATCATTTGAGGCCTCCCAGAAATTCATCAGTACTAAGTCCTGGGTGACCAGCTCTCAACTACCAAGACCGGCAGTTCAAACCCAGCCAGACGCACCCTGGAAGAAAGTCCCCTGATTTGCTTCTAACAGGTGATGGCCATGAAACCCTATGGAGCCACGTCCCACTCTGTCTTAGATGGGTTACTCATGGGTTGGAATCGATTTGGTGGCAATTCATTAGTACCTAAAAACTAAAATGGCCCAGGAAGGTAAGTGCTGTCAGGGCCAAGAAAATCTCAACTGTTTCCACATCCATCAGAACTCCCCTCTTAACTACACTTGGCCTAATGAAAATTTCCACAGATTGCTCCAGACGCGATCACCTGGCCTTGTGGTTCCTCCTTCTCTTGCCACCAGAGGAACAAAGAACGTGAAAGAGGCTTTGAAGATGCTCAGTAACCCAGGTTTTAACAATTTCCCCTCTCCAGCCGATCTTCCCCATCAAATCTCCTATCCTCATGCGCTCCGCAGCTCAGTGTCAGGATGGCTCTAAGCCCTCTTTTTTTAATGTTTTATCAGGAAGCCTTTCTAGCAAACACATGGAGTGTTCATCCTCTGATTATCCACAGGAATGAAAATGAGGAGGTCCCCGGTGGACATGGTTCTTGTGAAATCTTTCATACCTCTCTTTGTTGGGCTTCACGTTGATGTCACCAATGATATGGATTTCTGCAAATTTTATCCTAAATTTGCTCAGAAGAGAAGCTATTCTGGAAAGATAAGAGAGAAGCACTTCATCACTGCGTGTTTAACTGTTTTCAACCAAAGAGTGTTGGCGTTTGAATTAAGATATCAAAAGCAATCATGTCTTGTTTCAACTATGCTTTCAGACAAGCTAATTTACCTAAAGGGCTTTGGTTAGGGTTTGATTTTCATTGCCGCACTTGACAGATACCCTAAGAGTGGGCCACGCTGCTCCAGCGAAGGCAAAATGCAACTTGGGGAACTCAGACACTTGAAACAATAAACCTGCTACACATTCATGTTTCAAGGACAGTCGTCTAAGGCTGTCCATGTTTTCTTACCATCTGAACGAAAGAGAGCAGATGGGTCCACTTACCGACGATTGGCAAACGGATGCAATGATAAATTCATTATATGATTATCTGTTGGAGGGTTTTTATTGTCTAGACAATACATAATTTTTAGACAATTTCAAAGGTACCCCAAAGTTGAAAGAATACTACCAATGGCGCCAACTCACCAACGGTTTATGACAAGTCTGTCTCACTTATGATGCTTCTTGTTCCTAGCTCTCTCCCTGTCTAAGGAATCCTGGTGGTGCACTGGCTAAGGTCACCTGCTCCTGGGAGAAAGATGGGTCAGTCTGCCTTTGGAGGGATTTATAAGCTTGGCAACCCAGCAGGCCAGTTTTACTCTGTCCTATGACTCGGAATCAATCCAACAGCAATCCTTTTGGGGGAAAGGGGGTTATTTACCTATCTGCGTATCATTTTTAAGTAAGTGGTGGGGCTCATGCCTGACTCCCCTCAATATTTCAGTCAGTGTTTCTGAAACAAGGACATTCTCGCACATAATCGGAGTACTTTTTTTTTTTCCAATCAAGAAGTTTAACATTGATGCCATACGATTAGGTGTTCCACAAACCATCTTTGGTTTTATGAGTTGTCCTTGTACAATCCTGGAGGTTTTCACACTCCTCTACAGTTCTAGAGGTTTACAGAGAATACGAATTATTCTAACCATCTTATTCATTTCTACTGGACTATAAATTTCTTTAAGGTAACTTAAACACATATCATTTTAACATATGTGAATATTATATAAAAGGGCTTCCAAAAGCCCATGGAAAAATGAAATGGAAAGATAATAGAATTTTTCATAAACTTCATAGTAGTTGAAGAGAACGTAAATAAAAAAACAGAATATGAACATATCCATATCCATTCACTTATATCCATATAATAATCAACACAATGACATTCTCCTAGGAGGAAGAAAACGATGGGAAGGGTTCCTAAATGACAGATGGCTTGTCATTATTGTGTGGCTCATGGGGAAGGGCTTAGGGTTTAAACCCTCCATGCAGGATCGAGGATTGCTTAAAATCATCCTAGATTCCCACCAGAGGTCTCTGAATCTACCATGTTCTCTGGGAGCTTGCTAGTCTCACAACTGCCTACCAGCTCTCCGGACCTAAATTATGAGGCAGATATAGGCTCACACAATGTAGGACAAAAAAGAAAGTAGAATGGATCTCTATAGCCCTTTGTTTAAATGCTTTTCACCTACCAGTGGGAACCTGGAGACCCAGCTATGTTTAGTTATATTTGCAAAGTTATTACTATGTTTAGTAATTTTTGCAAAGGCTTCGAGCCAGGAGGTAGTAGGGCTGAAAAGAAGACCCCAGGCTAGGGCTCTCAGCCTGGCTGTGGATTGAATTCCAGATGAGTGAGTGTGGCCACTGGGAATGAATAAGTTTGGATCTCCCAGAAGACACAATTGGGGGGCTGGGGTGGGGG